TCATTTTAACATTACATTGAATTAAAAGATCTTTTATAAAAAAATTTACGAAACAATTTTTCACTCTACAAGTATTTCTATAAAAAATTTTACCAACTACTTTTAGCTATTTGGAATTTTTATGTGGACTGCCACTAATTGCATTTGGTTTTCAAAATTGGATCAGATAGAAAACCATTAAAGCCCAATAAAGTAATGTGATCCAAGTGAGCCTAAACTTTATCTCAGTCTTATTTAGTGTGATATGAATAGGTGTATGGCCTGAAAGTAAAGGTGGATTACTTGATGGGGTGCCCAAAAGATTATTATAATGGATTAAGTCCCTTCACCTTACTTCTATAAATAATAGAGTTAGGGAATTGATTGTCACTATACAAAAGTTGATTAAGGCGAGGAATATCTAAATTTCAATACTAAATATATTTGTTTTGTATATTTTGTCATGAGATCCCTAATTATGATGATTTTTAAAAATCTTTAAAAATTCTTAAGTAATATATTGATTAAGGAAATACAAATATACAATGTATATATTTTATTAGATTTTTATATCCTAAATTCTACATATGTCGATCCCTAAAATTCCAACATTAACTTCTCAAAAATAATACTTTTATAATATATTCTTTTTAATAGGATATCTATCAAAAGCTCTCACCACAGCAAAGGGGCTCTTAGTCTATTTCCCTTTGAAGGCTGGAAGTCAATAGTCTAATGAAAAACCATAGGCATAATTATAGGCTAGATTAGGGAGTCATTCGTTATGTTGATAAATTCATCCCAAAAGTTTATGTAGGTGTGTTTTAGTTGAAGAAAATTTTTGTTGTAATATTATCATTATCCTAATTACTTAATTAAATTTTTTATCTGTTTTAGTGATTTGGTATATGGATTACATTTAAGGGATAATTTTAATAAAGATAAATATTTAAAAAGTATTATATAATTTAAATTATTTAATACTTATTATTAAATGATAATTAATCTTTAATATTGAGAGTTATTTTTATACTTAGTTTTTATTCTACCGTTTAAATTATAAAATAAAAAATTTATATATACATATATTTTTAACCTAAACAACCACGGACCTCGTACATGAATGTAGATGTGAGGCCATTTCGAAGATGATGTGGTTCAAAGTGACATTTTCTTT